GATCCAACGCATCGTCCTCTGACACTTCCGCCATCTGCAATCCGACCCCACCACCAAAGACGTCTTTCCCTCCCCACCCTAATCTGCTTTCCGGAGGGACCACTCTCTCCGTGACTCCCTTGTCTGCTCCACACTCCCGTCCAGCCCCACCACACCCAGCACTTTTCCCTGCAACCGCAGGAAGTGCTACACCTGCCCCCATACCTCCTCCCTCACTCCCATCCCAGGCCCCAAGAAGACTTTCCGCATCAAGCAGATGTTCACCTGCACATCTGCCAATGTGGTATACTGCATCCGCTGTACCCGTTGTGGCCTCCTCTACATCGGGGAAACCAAGCGGAGGCTCGGGGACCGCTTTGCAGAGCACCTACGCTTGGTTCGCAATAAACAACTGCACCTCCCAGTCGCGAACCATTTCAACTCCCCCTCCCATTCCTCAGACAACATGTCCATCCCGGGCCTCCTGCAGTGCCACAACGATGCCACCCGAAAGTTGCAGGAACAGCAACTCTTATTCCGCTTGGGAACCCTGCAGCCCAATGGTATCAATGTGGATTTCACAAGCTTCAAAATCACCCCTCCCCCACCGCATCCCAAAACCAGCCCAGCTCGTCCCCGCCTCCCTAACCTGTTCTTCCTCCCACCTATCCCCTCCTCCCACCTCAAGCCGCACCCCCATCTCCTACCTACTAACCTCATCCCACCCCCTTGACCTGTCCGTCCTCCCTGGACTGATCTATCCCCTCCCTAACTCCCCACCTACACTCACCTTTACTGGCTCCATGCCCGCCTCTTCGACCTGTTTGTTTCCTCTCCACCTATCTTCTCCTCTATCCATCTTCTATCCGCCTCCCCCTCTCTTCCTATTTATTTCAGAACCCCCTTCCCGTCCCCCATTTCTGAAGAAGGGTCTAGGCCCGAAACGTCAGCCTTTCTGCTCCTATGATGCTGCTTGCCCTGTTGTGTTCATCCAGCTCTGCACCTTGTTGTCTCCCTGATTGGACCAGATTTACAGCCCCAATCAGCGAACTCATATGCTACAAGGTCTACCTGGCTAACCATGTTTCCATCATTACACCCAGCGTGTCTGAATGTTTATAAGAAAAACCCTCCCTCCCATAGTTTACTTAAATATAAGTAATTACTTTGCAGAAAAATATTCCTGTTGATGTGCAGTGGGAACCCAAAGCCAGTTGTTCTGGAGCTTTGCAGTAGTGTCTCTTTGGCATATGTGCCTTTTGCTTACTGAGATCCACATTCTTTGATATTTTTAATGAAATATCAGAAAGTGTACCTTTAAGACTTTGAAGCTTTTGCAATTTTTTGAACATGCCAAACCTGCTGCTACTAAAAAAAATTCGGAGGGCTTCAAACTTTAATTTTCTTTGCAAAAGATGGATTTAAAAAGAGAATATGTTCCCCACATTTCAATCGATCCCTATTTAAGAAAGTTTCTTCTAGTGTACATTTTTAAAATGTTTTTGTTAGTTACTAATGAAATTGGCAAGATATTGTTGTGTAATATTGGTGTGGAAATTGGCATTAATAGCAGTGTGTCTCTTAATCTCTGTCAACCCGGCAATTTCAGGGCCCTTTGTATTATAAATTAATCTAAATGCTGTTTAATTGCAGGATGGATCTCTGTGCTGGAATGAATCGCCCCTGTGAGACATTAGGTCTGTCACATGTGTCAGGAATGTGTCAACCACTTCGAAGTTGCAACATTAATGAGGATTCTGGCTTGCCAGTAGCATTTACCATTGCACATGAGATTGGTCACAGGTATCTCAGTCTTTCTAAGCAGAGAGAATAGTTCAATTCAAATGCACAGATCAAGTTCCACAAGTTAGGGAACTGTGCCTTCAATTAGCTGATCTCCATTGCGGCAGTGATTGAGATGCTACACTTGACCTCGGTGATCATAGCCCAGAAGGATTAAAATTAAGGATTTTCGCATCTGCTTATAAGCCAGTAATTTGCTGTTGGAAAACCGTGACAGAAACACACTAGACTGAAACAATTTCGATACATAAATAATTTTCCAACAATCACACATGAATGAGACTTGGAAATCAATCTCTACCTGTGAAACTCTGCTCCAGTCAGAGAGCACATAAAGGAGAGAAAAGCATGTGAAATATACTAAAGCCAAGCTAATTAATTTCAGTGGTTGTGGGCTCATATTATTTAGATTGTTGTTTGAGCTATATAGTATGAATCAGAAAACTGATAGATCAAGTAAACTTGAGACCAAGGTAAAATAAAAGTTCATGAAATCAGATGTTCTCTCTGACAGAATGCGATGTATCAGTGGGCACTAGGTTGCACTTTCAAAAGTTCTGTGTTTGAATCCTTTACATGATATTGCCTACACATATTTTCCTGTGTGAACGTTACATTGTATGAACCTTTCAACAGTAAATAATTTTGAAATAGTTCCAATGACTCCATTGGAATTGACAGTTTTATGAAGGGTAAATTGTGTTTGACTAATTTGCTAGAGTTCTTTAAAGATGTAACAAGCAAAGTGGATAACCAAGCGCCTGTAGATGTAGTATATCTGGACTTCCAGAAGGCATTTGATAAAGCACTGCACTAAAGATTAAAAGACAAGGTAAGATCACATGAAGTTAGGGGTAACAAATTAGCTTGGATGGAGGATTGGCTAACCAGCAGAAAGCAGAGAATTGAGATAAATGGATCTTTATCTAGTTGGGTTCGGTCCTCAGGCCCCAACTATGAACAATCTATGTTAGTAACTTGAATGAGCGATAGAATGTACAACAGCCAAATTTTCAGATGAGACTAAAATAGTTAGCAAAGTAAGCAGATGTAAAGTGTATATTTCCCTATGTGGGGCAACCTGAACAGGAGATCTTATTTTACTAAGAAGTGGCAGATTTAAAACAGAGAAGCAGAGGAATTACTTCTCAAATGGTCATGAAACTGTGGAATTCACTATCCAGAGTGCAGTAGATGCTTGGACATTGTGTAAATTTAAGGAGCAGATAGATTTATAATTAGTAATGTGTTAAAGAACAGAGTTGAGGCTGAGATGAAATCTGCCATGATTGTATTATATGGCGAAGCGGGTTCAAGGGGCAGAATCACCTACTCGTGCTCCTACAGGCAAAAAATTCACCGTAGTATGGTGGGTCATAAATCCATTCTTTACACACAATGTTTACAATGATATTTCAATTGCGATTTTCTAAATGAAATTCTGCTGCTGGTCAAGAGATTACAATTTTGATAACACTGTAAGTAGCCGTTGGATATGTGCCCCTTAGACTACTCATAGGAATTGAAATGTGTATCATTTACTTAAAAAGTTATGCATAAAATGTGAAATATAATAGAATGGAAATGCACTGCTTACTAGTGACGTGGCTGTATTGTTATTACAGTTTTGGCATCCAGCATGATGGACAGGGTAATGACTGTGAACCCATTGAGAAGCATCACTTTATCATGTCTCGGCAGTTACAGTATGATCAGTCTCCTCTCATATGGTCTCACTGCAGCAAAGATTACATCACACGTTTTCTGGAGTGAGTCATTTATTTAATCTATGCCATTGTGTAGTTGACTTGAATAATTTTCATTTTCAGTTTGCTTTGCAATTGGCCTCATTTGAAAATTGTTCTGTGATGTGGCATGACATTGGATGGTTGTACAGAGCAAAAACAAGAGGACGAAGTAATAAAGCATTGCAAAGTCGCAGAGTTTCTTAGAATTGTATTATTGAATCAGATGGTTTGTAAATGGTAGGACCAGAACATGATGTTGCTGACTCCTCAGGATAGTGCCAGTTGGGCCTATTAAACAGTTCATAGTGATTCCTGTTCCATTTAGATTGTAGCTTAAAAAAGTCATCAATGGGGATGCTGGGAATAGCATATGTTTACAGAATTTTGTTTTTAAAAACAAGTGATTGTCTATTGTGGGGGGATGAAATTTGATGCAGCCCTCATAAGGAGATTAAATATTTTAAGGTTATGTTTCAGCTTTTATGAATATTGCTGGCTGACAAAATCAATAAATAAAAACAGAAAGAAACAAAGAGGCACAAAATGGAATAGATGCAGAAAAATGGTTAAGAGCAGAGTATCTCTCATTGTGCTGCCCGAGTGGTTCTTCTTGAGACTTGTGACAAACAAAATAAAAAATAGCTTGGAATTAACTGGGAAGGACTGGATATGCTACCGGAACATACCCGCAGAGGCATCCACAGTCAAGAGTTGCTAAATGGAAGTATTGCCTTTGTGAATAACTGGAGCTAAGGATTCTCTAGGGGACTGTGACATATGCTGAGTGGTTCTTGCAGAAGGACATAACTTTAAGAGTGATGTGTTGTCATAAGAAAGTTCTAGTGGGTGCAATAATTAAACCTAAGCACAAAACATACTTAACTATATAACATATTGTTAAGGCCCAATAACACTCAAGAAACTTGACATCATCCAGACCAAAGCAGCCTCTTGATTGTGACTCCATCCACCACCTGCCTCCAATACTATCAACAAGATGAACAGCAGCAACTCATCAAAACTCCTTCTACAGCTCCTCTTAAATCAGCAAACTCTACCACCTCGAAGGACAAGGATAGCAGATGCTTGGGAGCACCATTGCCTACAAGTTCCACTCCAAGCTGCACACCATACTGACATGGAACTAAAACACTGAATCATTGTCACAATAGAAAAATCCTGGAACTCCATTTTAAACAGCCATGCTCCCTGCTCCACTGACTGCAGTATTTCAAGAAAGAACTTGAATGCCACCTTCTCAAGGGCAATTAGGGATAAGCAAGAAAGACTGGCCTAGCCAATGACGATCACATCCCACAAATTAATTTAAGTTGCAGTGGTTCCAGAAGGCAGCTACCATCTACAGAAGGGCAATGAAGGACTGACAATAAATGCAGGTTCTGCCAGCGATGGCTACATCCCATGTCTGAATTTAAACAAAATGTTTGGAAGCATATTGAGCACTCTGGTCCCCATTCCACTCTCACGCAAGCTCCCTTAAGCCCTCTCATGTGTGGTGAAAATCTCAAATTGCAATGAAGTTGTTGAAATAAACTCAAATGACTATTTTTTTTTTTGTAAGGTTACAGACAAGATGTGCTGAACAGAATCTTACACTGTTGGATTAGAATCAGCAAAGGCTGAGAAGGATAAGTCAACCATGTATTAGAAGTGATAAATTTTCAATAGCCTCAAGGTGGATTAAACTATCTTGACTGAGATTTTGATGGATAATTGGATACAAACATCACGGTAAATTGAAAAATCCGGAAATGAGAGACATGGCAAATTGCATCGTTGTATCAATCTTTGTGTGTGAAGGTTGCAGAAATTGTCAAACTTGTTTGGCAATCCACAGCACATGTACAGGATTAGTGCATGTGCTGCAGAGAAATTCAAGATAGTATATTATTTGTACGAAGAGCTGAGTGTGTGTTAGACTGTTGACTCCTGACAGAAACATTTCAATTGTTTTCAAGAGCTAAATGATTTCAGTGGCAATATCCAAATATCACAGTAAATTGAAAATTGGGAAATCCGAGAAACGGCAAATAACATTTTTGCATCAGTCTATATGTGTGAAGTTTGCACAAATTGTCAAATTTGTTTGGTAATCCACAGCACGTGTACAGGATTGGTGCAGGTGCTACAAAGAAATTCAAGATATTAAATTATTTGTTGGAAGAGTTGTGTGGATGTGTTACACTGTTGACTCCTTTTGGAAATATGTCAATATTTTCAAGAGCTTAATGATTGCAGAGGCAGTGGAATAAAAATTGCACTAACAATTTAAAAATAAAAGATGAAGAATCCAATATTGCAGTGAGTTGACACTTAGTCTTTGCTTCATAACCAGTCCTAAATTCAGCTCATATTTGGCAATCTCATGAAATGAAGTGACAAAACAGCTGCTGTGTGATATAGAAGCATGGCTGAATTGAACATCTTAACTTTAATGAGGTAAAAATGATCACTTTGTATTTTTAAGATTTTGATGTCTTTAGAAACATGCATTATGAATGATAAAATAGATTTCTTGTCAAAAGCTACTAAAATACATAAGGTTTAATAAAACAGATTGTCATGGTTTCCTGAATCACTTGAGAGTGAAGAACTATTATCTACTGCAGCATCTGACAAAGTAGCAGCTTAGAATAAAAAATGGACAACATTCATCTAAATGAGATAGTAGGAACTGCAGATGCTGGAGAATCTGAGATAACACGGTGTAGAGCTGGATGAACACAGCAGGCCAAGCAGCATCATAGGAACAGGAAGGCTGACGTTTCGGGCCTAGACCCTTCTTCAGAAATCTCACATTCATCTAAATGAGATGTTTCAGTGCCTGCTAATCATTCAGATGTTTCCCCCAATTATTATGCTTGTAAACTTTTTGTTTGACCTAGAAAGTATAACAGTATTATTTATTGGGTTCCCTAGAAATAAATTGTAATCAACCACTTAAGTATAAAATATAATGAGACAGTTAATTGACATTGGTAAAGATTATAGGGAGAATTCTAAAAATCTACACCCTCAGCTAAAAGCTTTTATTTTGCTGGAAGCACACATTGGGAATTTGGGCATGAGTCAAGACAATTTTTCAGCTATGAAGATTACTGTTGGTATAAGCTTATTCTCTTTTTCTATCTGTAGTCGAGGCTGGGGTTTCTGTCTCAATGATCCACCAACTCAACAGGAATTAGTGGTTCCCACCATTGCTCCAGGTGTGCTATATGACGTCCATCATCAATGTCAGTTCCAGTATGGACCCAACTCAACATTCTGTGAGGAAATGGATGTAAGTTACTGTCTTGTTATTTGTGAATTAAAAACAAGTGTGGGAAGTTTAAACGGACGATCTTGTGACATCATACCATCATCAATGTGCAGTTGTTGAATCTAGGCACTAAGATAATTTATTCTTCTTGACAGCTACTCACAATGGTCTACTTTGGAGAAATGAATTCTGTCTTCGCCTATGATGGCCTGATAAATATTTAGTTAGAGCAACATGACATTTTTAACACAATACTTTTACACATGTTGATATGCAGAAATTTTAATCGGTCCTGTTATTATGAGAGAAATCGAAACCAATGGACGCGAGGACAGTGCACTTTGATATTGCAGTGTAGGTAGCTCCAGGTAAGCTTGCAGTTTTCTCCAGACTTCTATGATCCATTGAATTGAACTGAATTACTTTTGGTACACAAGCTAAATGTCTCCAGAAGAAAACATTTCCAATCTGGTTCGAGAGAAAGAGAGACAATGGAGACAAGTTTCAAGCCAAACATTTGATAAAATTTCAATAACTTACGTACACAAATAGATATAATCTACAACAAGGAAGGCAAGAGAAGACCACCTAGTCCATCGAGCCAATCTCATGAGCAACCTACATACCTACTCAATGTCATTCAGCATCGATAATTCAATCTGCTTTAAATTATAAAATTATCATTGCTATACATATTTCCACCTGGGGAAACAAAAGGAGCACTGAGATTCTGACTAACTTCGGTACTTTATCTTCAGTGTTTAAAGATCAATTTTAACCTTTTTTCAATTTGTCCTCATTATTTATTTTCCCATTTGAAATCTTACTATGTCAAGGTTCTTTATCAGAAACATATGGGATACAAATCATCCTTTAGTAATACAAATCTTGAGTATTGATGAGAAAAAGAAACATTTCATTGAAGTTTTTCACATTGCACTCATCAGGCCAATTTGCAAGAATATCAACGGAAAGGGAAACAACCTTTTTGTGCTGTATGACAGGATGTGCTGATCGGTTGGAAAGTTACCACATATGTGCCAAGCAATGACAGTCTTGAGCAAGAGAGAATCTAACCATCACCTCTTGCCATTAAACCCCATGACCAGAGCTGAATGCCCCCGTTGTCAACATTCTTGGTTTTACCATTGACCAGAAATTGAACTGAACTGGTCACATAAATACTGTCATTACAACAGCAGGTCAGAAGCTACGAATTTTTTGATGAGTACCTCACCTCCTGACTTCCCAAAGACTGTCCACCATCTATAACTCACAAGTCAGGAGTGTTATGGGATACTCTCCACTCTCCTGAGTTGGTGCAGCTCCAACAACATTCAAGAAGCTTGGCATCATCCAAGACAAAGGATGTCACTCTGTTGGCACCCAGCCACTATCTTCAACATTTACTCCCTTCACCACTGACACACAGTGGCAGCAATGTGCACCATCTAAAACATGCACTGTATAACTCACTAAGTCCCACCATAGCACCTTGCATGCCTGCAATCTGTATCACTTAGAAGAAAGGCATCAGATACATGGGAACATCACCACACACAAGTTCCCCTCCAAGACAATCACCATTCTGGCTTGGAAATACATTGGCCAAGTCACGTGAGAATCTGCCAAGTATTGGTGGGTGGTGTTCCCATGTGTGATGGTAGTATCCATGTTAATGATCTGACATGTCTTGCAGAGGTTGCCATTGCAGGGTTGTGTGGTGTTGTGGTTGATGTTGTCCTGAAGACTGGGTAGTTTGCTGTGAACGATGGTCTGTTTAAGGTTTGGTGGTTGATTTAAGGTGAGAAGTGGGGGCATAGGGATGATCTTGGCAAGATGTTTGTTGTCATTGATGATATGTTGAAGGCTGCAAAGAACAAGGCATAGTTTCTCCGCCCTGGGGATGCTTTGGACGATGAAGGGTACACTATTAGTTGTGTCCTATGTCTGCCTTCTGAGGAGATCGTTGTGGTTTTCTGCTGTGGCATGTCAGAACTGGCAATTGATGAGTTGAGCATCGTATCTCATTCTTATGAGGGCATCTTTCAGCATTTTTAAGTGTCTGTCACGTTCCTCATCGTCTGAGCAGATCCAGTATATGTGTAAGGCTTGTCTGTAGGGGATGGTTTCTTTAACATATTTAGGGTGGAAGCTAGAGAAGTGCAGCATTGTGATGTTAGCCATGGGCTTGCAATAACCTCATGATGCTCCACTTCTGTAGTTTCTCTAACTCAGATACCTGTATGACATCAGGAGCTGGGAAATTATGTATGTAAATCACAATGCTATACTACATTAGTAGATGAAATTATTGATTTATTAGAGTAGTAAGGGTTATTAGAAATAATAGTTATTCTCAGCGATGACTTGTATTTGTAGCTTACAGTTTTTTGAGTCTGTACACGATGAGTATGACTTTCAGCTCTGCTGAACATGAATGCTCGGGTTCGAGGAAGATTACCCATTCCAGAAGTCTGGCACATGATGGTTTTGTTAACAGAAATATTGGAGAGGTTGAGGATGTAAGTGCATCTCCTTGCCTCCAAAAGTTTCAAATGGTTGAAATATGTGGCTTTTGATTTTTTTTAATGCATTGACCATTCACCATTGTGATTTGAATACTTGCAGTCTAACAAGAGTCTTGTATGGAATCACAGAATGGTTACAGCACAGAAGGTGGCCATTCAGTTGTTGAGATGGTGCCAGCTGTCTCTTTGCTGGAAAACTGCAGCAAGCCAGAATCCGAGATGTTGGCCAGGGAACAGGGTGTTAAAGTGGCAGGCAACTGGAAGCTCAGGGTATTTTTTGCAAGCAGAACATAGATGTTCTACGAAGCGGTCTTTAAAATAGGTGGGGGTTGGATTAGCAAGATCAGCATTATTTGAAGTTAGAGTTCATTCACCAGTCTAATAAGAGCAGGGAGGAAGCTGTTCCTGAATCTGCTGGTGTGTATGTTCAAGCTTCTGTATCTTTTGCCTGACGGAAGTGGTTGTCTGAGAGCATTACCGGGGTGCGATGGGTCTTTGATGATGGTGGCAGCCTTTCCATGGCAACAAACCATGTAAGTGGAGTTCATGGTTGGCTTCCGTGATGGTCTGGGCTGTGCACAGCACTTTCTGTAGTTTCTTATGTTCCTGGGCAGAGCAGTTGCCATACCAGGCCATTGTGCACCTGGACAGTATGCTTTCAGTGGCGCCTCTGTAAAAGTTGGTGAGTGTCCCTATGGACATGGCAAACTTCCTGAGCCGCCTGAGGAAGAAGAGGCGTTGTTGTGCCTTTTTGACTGTCGCATCTACGTGGGAAGTCCAGGACAGGTTGCTGGTTGTTGTAACTCCTTAGAACCTGAAACTCTCCACTCTCTCAACCTCAGTTCCGTTGATATTGATGGGGGCATGTTGTCCTCCTTTCTTTCTGAAGTCAACGATCAGTTCTTTATTTTTGCCGACATTGAGAAGTTGTTATTATTGCACCATGACACCAAGCTTTCTAGCTCCTTTCTGTATTCTGACTCATTGTTGTTAGATATCCGTCCTACCATGGTGGCATCGTCAGCAAACTTGCAGATGGCTTTCATTTGGAATTTAGTTACTCAGTCATGGGTGTAAAGGGAGTACAGTTGGGGACTGAGAATGCATCCTTGCGGTCTCCAGTATTGAGTGTTATTGTGGAGGAGGTGCAGCTGTCTATCTTCACTGATTGCTGTCTGTGGGTCAGAAAGCTGAGGATCCAGTTGCAGAGGGCGGAGCTGAGACCAAGGTCTCGGAATTTTGAGATCAGCCCGGAGGGGATAATGGTGTTGAAGGTGGAGCTGTAGTTGATGAGCAAGAGTCTGATGTAAGTGTCCTTGTTGTCCAGATGTTCCAGGGATGGTGCAGGGCTAGGGAAATGGCATCTGCTATGGACCTGTTGTGTCGGTAGGCTGGAAGACTGGAATTGATGTGGGTCATGTCCAGCCTTTTGAAGCACTTCATGATTATGAGATCGGAGCCACTGGGCAGTAGTCATTAAGGCACATTGCATATACTGGTGGGTGTTGAGGTGACCGGAACTGCACACAGAACTCCAGCTGTGTCCTAAGTGACATCCTGTCAGCTTTTGTGTCCAATGCTTCAAGTAATAATTTCAAGTATCCTCGATGCCTTCTTAACATCCTAGTCACCTGTCCCGTTGCTCCTTCAAGATCTAGGTACACATACACCAAGTTTCCTCTGACCCTCGGCACTCGACAGGATCCTACCTTTCATCATGTATTTCCTTGCCTTGTTAGTTGTCCAAAATGCATTATTTCACACTTTTGGCCTGTCCAGAACTTTCTCCTTGCTATGTTCCACAACATCAATTTTTATGTCATCTCTGAACAAATTGATTAAACCTTATACATTTGAGTTTAAATCATTAATTGTTATGACAAACACCAAGGTACCCAGCACCGAATCCTAGGTGTATGCCATTGGACGCAGGCTACCATTCAGAAAATCACCCTCAACCAACACCTCTCATCCTAACACAAAGCCAGTTTTGGATCCAGTTTGCCAAATTGTTCTGGATTGCATGGGCTATTCCCTTTGTATGCACCCTTCTATGTGATACCTTGTTGAAAGCCTTATTGAATTCCATGTCAACTACATCAACTACATGACTTTAAAATACACATCAAGTCACCTCCTCGAAAAATTCAAATTTGTTAAACATAATCTCCCCTGACAAAACCATGCTGACTACGTTGATTAATCCCTGTCTGTCCAGATAGAGATAAATCTGTCCCTCAGAACATTTTTTTTCCCAAAAGGTTTCCTACCACAATTACTAGACTCACTGGCCAGCAGTTCCCTGGTTTATTTGTTACACCCTTCATTATTTAATACCACATTTGCTATCTTTCAATCCTCTGGCATTTCTCCTGCTTCCAGAGAGATTTTGAAACTTCACATCAAGGCTGCTGCAGTCTCCATCCTTGCCTCTCTCAGCAGCCTAAGGTACATCTCATTTGGACCTGCAGGTTAACCAATTTTAAGCCC